AAAGTAGTTGTAAAATAATAATATCTTTCAAATTGCCTCATTTTTGCTATCCGGCATGGAAATTTTCACATTTTAAACTGAACTGTGAAATGATGTTTAAATAAACTCATTTTTCATAATCCATTCATTTTAATGTCAATCACGAGCTATCAAATTGACATAAGAGCATTTCGTTCTTTACTATTTTTCATTCATGTATTTACTTATAATATTGCCATAGAATTAACATCATGATAAATAATCATTCGAAGTCACGTGTAGACGTGGAATGTAAAATTCAAACAGTAAAAATCGCGATTAACATCAGAATTCCATGAACTTCCATGTTTAATTGTTCTAAATGCATGAAACAAGAGATTTTTACAACGATGGTTCGAAGTCATGGTTCTACGATAATTACCTACATCAGACATCCTACAACGTAAAAGCATGAATTAATTCTTTAAGATTGAATGAAGATAAAATGATTTTTCGTTGGGTAAACATGAGGATTTTAAGTTTATAAGACTCGAAAGGCAGGCTAATTCTACTGAATTAAGCTAAAGGCTGGCGTGAAACTTTCAAGAGTTCCGAATTTTGGGGACAACATAGGCTACATTTAAGAATAATTTACTCAAATTTGTCTTGCGTCGGAAGATTGACTCAGCGATATGCAAAAGGATCTTAATGGCTCTAAAAGAGACTCTAATTTTGCACAGGCTGATCAGAACTTAAGCAAAATCATACGAATAATTTGAGATTTTATGAACCAGCAAGAATTTCATCTCAAGTGCTTCGAAATCCTTTAAAAAATTCGATCCAAGTGTCAAACAACTCTATCGAGAAACAATCATTCCAACCTCCTTAAAACCAAACTATAAACTTAATTAAAGCTTCAAAAAAATCCACAACACCAGACACATAATCTAGAAAATCGCATCGAAGTCCACAAAAGCTCTTTTTTGCGTGATACAATTCCACAGATGGACATGTTTTTTATTCTTTCTATTTGAAAACTTTTCTCTTCCGTTTTTCTTTCTTCTCTCATTCTTCACACAACAAACTGACCTTCATTGAGCGAAATGTCTTATTTCCTTTCACCATAGAATTAAGTGGAATAGAAAAAAAAAATCTTGAATTTAACCGTCGAATGGAAATGAATGACGAAGGGAAATTTTTTATAATTACCTCTTCATAATCGCCTTGAATAATATGTAAACGCGTATGTTTGTATCCATATTCAGATTTTAATGTGACTTGAAAAATTGGAGCATAAAGATTATCGCGAAAGGAATTTCACCCCATAAAGCATAAAAGACATTTTGTGGATAAAAGTTTTTCCATAAATTGCCTCAATTTTTAGAATAAACAAACCAAAAGTCGTCCATTATACTTTTCTTTACGCTCATTTATGTCTAATACTTTATGCCTATATAAAGAAAATATTCATGATAATAACTCCATACACGACATCAAAATTGAAAATGAGGAGTAAATGTGATTGTCCCCAATCACACAAAAAATATGAAAAAAATACCTCCCCCATACAACATTCTCACGCTTCTATTGAATACGAGTAGTGGCACTAAATGATATGGTTTAACACACCATCATACGATTTAATATTATTGTATTTGATGTCGTTGTTTTCATGCATAACAACGTCGACTATATTATGAATGTATATCGTTATGTGAAAGAAAAACAATTTTTTTTGACCGTTTTTACATGTATAGCCATTTAACCATACAAGAAGAAAGCATAAAGTGTGAGAGTCCTTTTCATGCTGCCATATTCGTATGTTGTGTCAGTTGATGAAGAGCTCTTGAAGTGACTAGCCGAAAAATAATATTTTCGGAGTGGAAAAATCAAAATAATTTTTTATGAAAGCTTTGGTTTTAGTGAAACTAAAGCAAAAAAAAACTTTTTTTAAGTGAAACAAAGGATCATAAAATAGATATTAAGTGAACACTTTTATAAAGCAGCATCGATGTATGACAGTGACGAAGAATATTCTTTTGTTATTCTATCCCGATCCAACTCATTCAAAAAGGTTTATAATTTTATTTCTATAAACTTGTCAGTGCCTTTTTTTTTTCGGGGAAAACCCAGAAGAATGTTTTCCTGTATTTAAAATTTATCGGTCTTTAACATGAAATCACTTACACTTGCTGGTTGTTCTCTCTTCTTCTCTTTCACTCTCAGGATAAAATTTTATTTTATTTTTTTGCCACTTTTATTATATAAAGTTCATTGATTACTAAATACTAATATTATTTTTTTATTCTCATTTACAGCCAGCAAGTTATGGCAAAAAGGTAAGCGTCAAATGAAGAGTCTATAAAGTAATTAAGTTAAGTGAAAAACTTATGATGTATTTGATAGAATGGCGTTTGGTATCAATCACCGGGAAATCAAGGATGGGGAACTAATCGTACACGTAAATCATCAGTAATTGATGCTGATAATTTACCTTCATCAAGTTTAAAGCCAAGCGCAGGGCGTGTTATAAGGATAATTAATAATAATGATCATTCTGTTCAGGTGAGCTTTCACTCTTCATTATTAGCTTTTGACTGTTCCTCACGTTTCCTTATACATATTTATGCTTTATTGTGGTGTAAAATGATTTTTTTTGCAACATTGAAGGCTTTTTCAACATACCTTAATTATACCTTGTTTTGATTACCTTTTTTTTCAATGCACGAACTGAAATCTACGTCTCGGCGTTTTTTTTTGAAGCACTTTTCCTGTATTTTATGTATCAACATAGTATACAGCGATGGATTTTTACAAAATCAATGAGTGAAAAAAAAAGCAGCATTTGCATAAAATTTAAATGCATCAGAAGGAGCTTTCAGTTTCATTCGTAAATTGCTTTCACTCTTTTCCTCCCCCATTTTCCTTTAATCCCTTCATTCTTTACAAACAAATACAATTGCACCATCAAGAAAACATTTTTTTTTTTGAATGAAAGTGCTCCTCTCACATGGAAGTTGACGTAACGTGGGACATGCAAAACGAAAATGGAGTGCCATTAATGAAATTGACTTTGTTGCAATAAGTAGTTGTAGTATGTTATATGCAAATAGCATGCAGATTATGAATTTCAATAAATTTGATCAAATCATCATACAAATATGAAGCACAAAAAAGTTTTAAAGCATGTAATCTTGATAATGATATTTTTTGAGAAACATATTTTATATTTCCATGTCTTGCTTCATAGTAATGTCCCGAAAGCACTTACTTAATATAATCCTCATACTTATTTTGCTCTTAGCCTTACAAAAGAACCTGAAATTAATCATTCTTATTTCATTTACTTGTCAATTTCACAGTGTCGAGTTTTGTTAAACTTGCGTACATCACAGCCATTTGAAGAAGTCCTTGAAGATTTAGGTCAAGTATTAAAAATGACGGGAGCCAAAAAAATGTATACTAATACTGGTCAGGAAGTGCGTAGCTTCTCGCAATTAAGAAATGAATTTGCAGAAGTTGACACATTCTATTTAAGCAATAATTCAACAGTTCCGGTAATACCATTAGGTCCAGGACTAGTTGCTTCACCAATCCGAAGATCACGATCACGAGCAAGTTTAACTGGAGGTCCTCCAGAGCCACAACCTACAGAAAAGGCACCGATTTCCATTAGACAACAGAGAGCACGTAGTAAAAGTCGACCGAGAATACTTTATGCACCAGAAAATGAAGTTGTAAGATCATCAATGGCAGCTGTATCGTCTTCAAGTATACCACAAGAATATGCAATGGATAACATGAAAGAAGATCCAACACGTATTGTTATTCGTGGACTAAGACGCACATTTTATCCACCTAATCATCATGCACCGGTCGATAATAGTCCACCAGATAAGAAATTACTGCTTACATGGGTTCATGGATATCGTGGAATTGACTCAAGACGCAATTTATGGGTTTTGCCTTCTGGTGAACTTTTGTATTATGTGGCTGCTGTTGCAGTTTTATATGATCGCGAGGAAGAGAATCAACGTCATTATACAGGGCATACAGAGGATATTATGTGGTATGTAAATTTTTTTGAAACTTGCGTGGGATTGCTTTTGAGAAAATTCACAGAAAATATTTACAAACCAACAGTTACAAGTAAGAATAAATTACCATATCTGTCAAATTAACAAACTGGATATCTGTTGATGACTGTAATTTTCATTCAATTTTCTAAAAGCTGCCCCACCTTGCCTTGCGTTAAAGAAAAATTCTACTTAGTCATGATTATATTAATCCTCCTCATCAATCAATCATTTCACAGTATGGATGTACATCCTTCGCGTGAATTGGTCGGATCTGGTCAACGTGGTGGACGTGATAGAAAATCACAAGCACATGTCAGAATTTGGAGTACAGAATCTCTACAAACCTTATACGTTTTTGGTATGGGTGAACTAGATACGGGTGTTTTGTCAGTAGCATTTTCACAATTAAATGGTGGTAGTTATATTTTGGCTGTTGATGCTGGCCGTGAAAGTATTTTGTCTGTTTGGCAGTGGCAATGGGGACATTTATTGGGAAAAGTTGCGGTAGGTCGACGATTAAAATAAATTAACATATTTATATTCAATCAAGATAAATAAATATTATTTAAATTTTGTAGACGTTACAAGAAGGATTATCAGGAGCCGCTTTTCATCCATTAGATGACAATTTGTTGATAACACATGGTCGAGGTCATTTAGCTTTCTGGCATCGTCGAAAAGATGGATTTTTTGAAAAAACCGATATCATAAAACCGGTAATAATGACTTGAATTCTTAAGCTCATTTCTATGCTTCATTTATAACATTTTCCGACATCAAAAAAACAGCCTTCAAGGACTAACATAACAAGTGTTCAATTTGAACCTGATGGTGATGTTATTACTGCTGATAGTGACGGTATGTCTGCAAATTTCATTCATGCTTAATGTGTACACGTTCTTTAATTATACAGGATTTATTACTGTTTATTCTGTTGACGCTGATGGAGCGTATTTTGTTCGTATGGAATTTGAAGCGCATAATAAAGGAATTAGCTGTTTGGTTATGCTTTCTGAAGGAACATTGTTGTCTGGCGGTGAACGAGATAGGAAAATTTGTGCTTGGGATTCACTGCAGAATTACAAGAAAATTACTGAAATTAAGGTAAACCATAAACTACTCTTAGAATCTTATTACACTAAATCAACTCCAATTTACAATTACAGCTTCCCGAAAACTCTGGTGGTGTTCGCACAATATACCCCCAACGACCAGGTCGTAATGATGGAAACATTTATGTTGGAACAACAAGAAACAACATCCTTGAGGGATCGTTACAGCGAAGATTTAATCAGGTCATTTTCGGTCATGGAAGGCAGTTGTGGGGTCTTGCAGCACATCCGGAAGACGAATTATTCGCTACCGCTGGTCACGATAAAAATATTGCTTTATGGAGACGTCATAAACTTATTTGGACGTCATCGGTAAGAATAAGAAAAAAATGTTAATGTTCTGCATCTGATTAGCTTATTTTTCTGACACGTTTCTGAAAAAAAAAACAAACAAAAACATTCATAATATATAGGTTGGCTATGAATGTATTTCACTTGCATTTCATCCATTTGGAAGTGCTCTTGCTGCAGGCAGCAGTGAAGGTCATTTGATTGTCATTAATGCTGAAACTGGATCAACTATGCTAACATTGCGTGTTTGTGGATCACCACTGAACTGTCTCGAGTACAATCAAATTGGTGATATGGTTGCTATAGGATCGCAAAATGGTAAATATTCCTCATAAATTTAATATATTCATGGCTTAATTTATGATTTATTTGTTCAACTTCTTTTTTTCTCATCCGCAATAGGTTCCATTTATTTATTCCGAGTTTCACGCGATGGATTCTCATATAAGAGAGTTAATAAAATTCGCGGATCTCAACCGTTAACGCACCTCGATTGGAGTATCGATTCATGTCATTTGCAGACAGCTACAATTGATTTTGACTTGTTATTCTGGGATGTTAAAGCTTTATCGCCCGAGAGAAGTCCCGTTGCAATGAAAGATATTAAATGGGTAACGCACAATTGTGTCGTTGGCTTTATGGTTGGCGGTATGTGGAGCAATCGTTATTATTCAGCACAAAATACTCTCATTACGACAGCAACACGTTCAACACAACATGATATGATTGCGAGTGGAGATGCTGATGGTTATTTAAGATTATTCCGTTATCCATGCATCACGCCTCGTGCTGAATTTGCCGAAGCTAAAGTTTATTCAGGAACAATTGCATGTGGACGATTTTTGTATGGAAATAGAAGTTTGGTAACTGTCGGTGGCACTGATGCTTCCTTGATGATTTGGGAACTTGCCGATGAATAGCCATTATGGCCGCGGTGGAGACGTAATTAAACAAAATTAATGCACAATAACCAATGAGAGCAATATCGCTGATATTATGATAACTTTGTAATCAATAGGTGTGTCCACAATAAAGGGAAAAAGTACATCAAATGTTGATCAACCGAATATCGGATCAAGCCCTATGGAAGAAGTTCCAGCTACCACCGCAGCACATAAATGGGTGAGTAAGTAAAAACGGACCTGAATTTCAATTGGCTCGCTCCTTGTATCCATGAAAATTTCTCTTGTCATTCACCCTTGCACAAACCCAACTATAATCAAAAATTTGCACTTAGGAGCAAGTGTCAGACGACAACTCAAGCAGCCAGAACTCAAGAATAATGGAATTGGAGAACGAGGAGGAGGAACTATCGTTGGAGGGGGAATACTTGGAATACGAGGAGGAAGTGGACGAAGCGGAAGTGGAAGTGACCAACCAGAATCAAGTTCAATTAAACTTGACCGATGAAACGGATGGATCAATGGAAAATAATCGAGTTGAATATGCTATTCTTCTTCCAAACTCTTTTACAATTCTCGACTCAACATTTGATGATCAAAATTCCCTTCTATAAAACTTACTCTCGACACACGATCAGAAACGAAGATTTTTTTTTATTTCACATTCTTTTTAAAAAACTATATTGAACACATTGAATTTTAAAAGAAAAGAAATGTATTTATATTTTGCATCAAACGGGTTAAGATACATAAACATCATACTCTTTTACTTTTCTTCCACAAAAAAAAAATTTGTACGAGATACGAGTGAAATTGAAAATCGTATTCTCACTTTTTAATAGACGCAAGTGGTAACAACTGAAGAAGAAGAAAAAAAAGTTGTAATAATCAGAATTTAAATGAAAATGAAAATGTTGTTGACGTACATACATATAAGAAACATTCTTTCTCTTATATATACTCTATATATGAAATGGAACAATTTATTTTAAGAAATTTTTGAATCTAAAATTTTTGAAATGAAAAGCATGAAAAAATAATAATAATATTTGAATGATGCCTTTGATATATTTATCGTGAGACGAGATGTACATTTGGATATTCGCTAAAGATATAAATCTAATAAAGGGGCACTTTTTTTGGAGGTAATAATCAATAATTGATGAAAATAATATGAAATAAATTGATAAATGCAGACATTTTTCTTACTGCATACTGCCAATATATTTATGATGCAATGAAAAGTGCAAATCGATTGAGATTGTAGGCAATTTTTAAGTTTCATTGTTCGTACTTTTTCGCAAAATTTCTATTGGACTTCATATATGTTATATTCTAATTATAAATTCATTTTTGGCGCTGAATTGATTGTGATCGAGAATGATCGTGAATTTAATATTTCTTATATTGCTTCACTCCTTTATGTTCCTACTATTCTAATAAGTTTGTTAAACACTAACCTGATCCTACTTAAGAAAAATCTTTCAACAAAAAATTCCAAAAAATGCTTTAAAATGTTCACATTCAAGACCAAGATAGTTAAAACCTAGCACCTGTTCAATCTGCATAGCAGCTTATCAAAAGCATCCATCAACCCAAGCTTATAATCTCATGTTACAAATATGATTTAATGACAAATTTCCTAATGACTAATATGTTTTAAAATGATCACTCACGATCACTCTCGATCATTATCGTCAGACACGTCTATGAGAAAATGAAAATCAATGTTGATTTAAATGACAGAAGAAAAAAATTAAATTTCTTAATTTAGAGGAAATGACAAACAGAAATATGAAGATTTTTTTCTTGACTCAGTAAAAGAGTCATAAAGAGATTTTTTATTATGCAAAAATAAAATAAAATTTCTATTTCTCACTTTTAAAAAAATAGATATAAAAGTTGTTGTTTGAATTAATATATATTAATAATATGTATGATGAAATTTTTATTCCAAATCGTGATAATGTTCTATGTAGTTTTAATTGATAATTAGTTTTTAAAATGAAATGAAATGAAAGAAAACAAATGAATTTTTACTCCATCATTATTCCTTATAGGTTCATGTGTATGTAATATTTTATTCTTTGTTTTTGTTATAAAAAAAAATTGAAATTAAAATTATGAAACTCTTTAGAAAATTTTAAAAAGTTTGAAAATAAACGAAATTAAAATTTTTAGAATCTAAAAGCACGTGGTTTTAATTTTTGAGGCATTTTATGAAGATTTTCAGCATGGTATGAAAAGACATAAAGATAGATAAAATATTATGATATCTCAATAAAAAGAAAATTCACATTTCATTCCAGTAAGCTGAAAAGATTCTCCAATATTTGAGGAAAATCGGATATTTTCGGTCCAAGTCACGATGTTATAAAAACCTTGCGAAATAAATAAATCAAAAAAAAATGTTTATTCAGTCAAAATATTTCACCTGAAGTTGGTAGGCGTCAATCGGCATAACAATGGCTTTAACATATTCCATCTAGGTAACTTTTCATCATTGTTTTGGTATTTCCGGTATTTTTATAACTTGATACTTAATTTTGCAAATGCATTTTCACAAATTTATTTTTTAAGTATCCGTAACAGTTTTAGAAAAATATTGAAAAAATTGATTTGCAAAAAAAACTTCTTCAATATTTCTCGTTTATTGCAATTCGACATGCTTTTTTTCCAACTGAAAAAATTGCATGTTTAATAACTCCAACAAAATAACCGTTATTTTCTCAGATAACTGTCTTTTTTTTTCAAAATACTAGGCAATGCAACTGAGCAATGTGATGTAGGTAATATTGGGTATTAAGAGAATTTAGGGATGCAAAGTATTGAATACCGGGAAAATGTTTAAATCTTTTATTAAAGCTTAACTAAGAATGAATCTTTAATTATAATCTAATTATTTGACACTACATTTATAAACCTTAATTATACGAAAAGAACGAAATCAAATGAAATGATAAATTTTAGAGAAATCGACATTTCGAGAATCGAAATCCGGATGAGAGAGAAATTTTTGTCGTGCAAATAAAATCCCTAATTATTTATTCATATTTTCTTCTTTATTATTGTTAATTTATTTAAGTAATAATTCGAATCTATTTTTAAAAAGTAATTTGGAAGCATTTAAGAGGTGTTTGTTTACATAAAACAAGTGCTGGAGAAAATGGAGATTGAAGAAAAAAACAGTTTTTAAACAAATATTACAAATATGAAATTCGATTTTTGAGATCAGTGAAAAGAAAATAAAAAATATCTTTTTAAAATCGGCTAGAGCAGCCGTCAAAGGTGAATTATTTTAATCATATATGTTAGTTTATGACTTGATTTTGCTGATGAATATTTTAAATAGTTGAAAATTGTGACCTTTGAGGGAGAAAAATGTGCAATATTTTTTTTTATTAGGCTAAGACCTTTTCAATTTAAGGCAATTAACTTGTGGAGCAAAAGAGAAAAAAAAATATTATGCTTGAGAGATTTTTTCTGCTATAATCAATTTTATTGTTTCGTGCACGAAGACAAAAAAATTATTTAGCAATTTTATTATTATTTGGTGTAAACATAACAAAATAATAATACAATAAGCAACAAACTATGTACCCATAAATTAATTTCAGATGGACGGGCCAAGAACTATTGTTCTTCAACGTCAAAATGGGGCTTTCGGATTCACCTTAAGACACTTTATTGTCTATCCTCCGGATGTTCAAGATCCAGCAATTGCTAAGAAACTTGAACAATGTGGTCTTGCCAATTTTTCACAACCAATGGATACAGTGTTTGTGAAGAAAGTCATACCGAAATCAGAGGCTGATAATGCAGGACTTAAAGAAGGTGATAGACTCATAGCTGTGAACGGTATTCCCGTATCTCTACAATTCCAATTTGCTGATATTGTTGCTACTATACAAAAAACTCCAAAAACATTAGTAATACAGATTGTTCCTAAGTGCTATGACATATTACAAACCGTATGTACATATTTTTATTTTCATATTTTGTGTCTATTTACAGTGGATTAATGCAATGTTTGCCTTTTAAAATTGATATCTTCATTCGTTTGTTTTTCCTCCCTTTTTGTCCATATTTATTGTATAGTTTTTTAGTGAAACAGCACATAATCCCGAAACAAATCAACGCCCACAAGCTCAACAAGCAGTAAGATCAAGTTTAATGCCAATTATGAGTAGTAAACGACAACAAGAACAGTTCTCATTGCAAAGTGTACCAGAAAAACAAGAAGCCCTATATAGTCCATTAATGCCGATTATAAACACTTCAAATCGAAACGTCTACGCTGGAAATGGAAATCCAATGGCAATAGTACAACCACGAGTATTGCAAAATATGAGTCAAGTGCAATATGATCAACAGCAACAACAGCACTTACAGCAACAGCAGCAAGGTTTTAAAAATCAATTTGCCGCGGGAATAAATACTGAAATAAAGGATGCAATATTGTCTCGATTACGACATCAAATCGAACAGAAGGAAGAATTCCTGAAGCGTCCTAATAAGCCTTTAATACTTGAACCAACTCCAGAGCAAGGAAATCGTGATCATGCTCATTTTCAGCGTGCTACATTAAACTTCCCACAGCCAAATCGACTGAAACCCGACAATTTTGCTGATATGAATTTAGAATATGGACGATCGCTAGATTCCATGAGACAACCGCAATCTGTGTCTCAAGAGCTTTCTGATATACAAAGCAATCGTTTCGCATTAAGGGAACAATTTTTTAAAGATAGAAGTAGCACAAATAATGCCTATTTTTCATTACCCACCTCACCCTATTATATCCAAGATGGACAACCATCAAACAATGCATCATTTATTGGCAGTAGTAGCAGCATGATGGAAAACTCATCTTTACGTCCAGAAGATAATCGACATTTGCGCGTCATAGGATCATCACCGATTCCATCACAAGGTTTAAGAATTGTATCCGAGCGAACTAAACAGTTTGAATCAGGTCGCCCACTCTCGCCTGATGGAATAGATCGAACATCTTTATACAAAAGTGAACTTAGCAGGTAAGAAAGTTTTATAAACATTCTTTTTTCCTCTTTTCTTTTCCTTTTCGTTTCTCCTAACGTTAACTAACGTTTAAGAAGAAACAAGCTAGCAAAAAAAAAGATGTATGAAAAATTTTCTCTGTGATGTATTTGGGAAAAAAATTGAAAATTATTTTTAGAATAAGCACAAAACCACTGGTGTCTAATGTTGCCCTGAGACGTCAAGTATTTGAAGCAAAAGCGAATATTGATTCATCATGGAGATGTTCGTCAGATGACAAAATCAAGGACGACAAAGAACTAAAGTCATTGCCAGTAAAGGCGCGCTCACTGTCCGTTGAGTCAATGAAAGAAAATGACAAGCTTGGTGATGCAATTCATATTAATCACATTAACAACAACAATAATGGTTTTATGAAAAAAGAAAGGCCTAAGCCTGTACGTGAAAACTCATACTTGACAGCTGTAAGGAGTTCACCTGAAGTATTACCAGTGATATTAAGACAAAAATTAGCACAACGTGCCGCAAGTGACGATGAGGAACGAAAAACAAGGAGAACGTCTTATCTCAAGGCTACAGCAAACGAAGAATATCATTTTACAGCAAGCGATACAGATCAAAATTCAGTCTCTGTAACAGCGGATGATGAAGAAATACAACAGCAATTAAAAGTGTAAGTTCCTTTCCTGTTGATTACCTTCTTTTTATATTTACATCTTGCATTTATGGACTTTAAAAAAATATATATCTCGTAATGAAAAAATAGCTCATTTCAAAAGTGGACGCCCCCAAAGTTTACAGTTGATATTCAGTTCTTAAAACGAATTTTCGAGGAGCCTCAAGCATCACAGAATTCTCATGAAATCTCAAAAGACAATCATACCGTACACGCAAGGTTAATAATAATGATGATAATTTTCATGAAGACAATTTTTTTTTCCTCTTTACAAAATAATTATTTTCCGCTTAATCTAAAAAACACTCATGCGACTTTCTAAACATTCTTGCCGGTGAAAATGCTATTAGTTTATTTTATACATATTTTTCTTTAACGGGTTAATATGAAGAAAAAATAAAATAAATTCTGCCTACGCTTTAAAGTAAAAATTAACAAATTCACGCTCTATAAAGATTATTAAAGTTTATGTGTGAGAAAAATATTTAAATAATTGACTCCAATTTGCACCTTTTAACGTGTGACGTGTTATTGGCTATAACATTAATTCTTAGCACATCTTATTCATATTTACTTTTTGTATATCTCATATAAATACCTAACAAAAATTCATGCTTATTGATCATTTTGTGTTGTAAAGTCAAGTTTTTGAATCCTGATTTAATTTTGGTTGGATTTCTCTAAATCAAGATTCTGCCTTGTCAGGTTTAGACTGATCTGAAGATCAATGTCAAGGCTAAATTGTGAAATATACACAATCAATAATAGAAACTATTATTAATACTTCATGACATGTCTAAAAAGCAGATTTCAAGTCAGGGAATAAATCAACAAACCAACATTAGTTCATCTTAACTTTTATGATTGAAATCGAATCAATAATCGAGATCCTGAATGAGATTAAATGATGATTCTTGCTAAATGATCATCCAAAACTCAGAATATCATTTTATTTTATCAAAAGATGATCTAATAAGATTTGAATTTACAATTAACATGATTAGCATCTGTGAACAAAAAATTATTAGATCAGCAGATTATAAAAATATTTCTTCATCTATCGATTTAACAAAACAGTTGATTTTGAAACTTCAATAATTTTTGATTCGTCAAATTTGAATTCAAATCTTTCGGGATAATTCTAGAATATTTAATTCTCTTATTATATTATAGTAATTTACTCCTTGAATCCTAGAACACAATTTATAAATAATTTTAAAAGAAAAATCCATATCAGCTGAATAACTCCAAGCGTATACAAATCTGATTATTATCTCTTAAATTATTCAATCAACTAGCTTAAAATTGATTCAAAAAATTCCACAAAATCTCATTCATCAAAACCAAAATGATCCCAATAACTTAATGAAGCCTGAATAGTCCTTTCAATAACAAATTTTTCTCCATTGAGAATCTAATAAACAACTAATTTGTTGGGAAATAATATGCAAACAAAACAAGATACACAAACATTTATAGGTCATACATTCTATATGACCTAGATATTGTGTAAATTCATATCTTTGCAACATAGCACAGCAACCCTGACTGTACATAAAATCACTCTGCAAACCAATAGAATTTCTTTTAAATGCAATATTCGTTTTAGGGATCAGTTTTCTTTTTTGGCGGTAAAATAAGCAACGCACATCATCATTACTCAATTACCCTTAATAATGTACAAACACACTTTGCAGTGAAGAAATAATTATTGCTTCTATTACTCTACTTTGTAATTCTATTTTATTAACTCAAAACAAAGGGCTTTAATTTGATTTGAAGAAAAAAAAACTTAATTAAAGTTTGTGTGCTTATCAGAAAGAATTATTTTTATAGCTTCAATAATAACTATAATAATATTATCAATTTAAAAATTTCACAGTCATGCATCAAAGGCAAAGGCGTTGTCCTATTTCCGAGATAATGCATTATCGGATGTAAATATAGCAATAACAAAGCAAGGGATTTTACACGTAAAGGTTACTTTAATTAACGGACGGGTAAGATTGAAGATGCATTGCTAATTAATTTACCTATAATTTAATTTAAAAAACTCATTTAATTGACAGCGTTCACATGATAGAAATTGGAGGCAATGCAATGCTGAATTAAAAAGAAATATTTTAAAGCTGACGATATTGAGAGAGGGAAAAGTAAGTCAGGTAAGTTAATTTTAATAATTATACGATAACATTTCGATTTCATGACAACAATTCGGGTTTGTGGATAAGTTTTGTTTATTTCTATCGTATTTGGATTATGGTGGTAAATCCTTTTTTGGGATGTTTTGAGTAATTATTCGAGACCATGGAAAACTAAAAGCTTGATGAGCTCATTATAATGAAATGTAATTAAAACAGTGTTGCTGCTTAGGTATTTGATAGATTTAGATGCAGTTAAGGAATGTTTTGAATATAATAAGCTTTTGTTGTGTCTATAATCAACTTTTTAAGATGAGGGATACTTTCTTAGGTTTCTCTATTTCTTAGCATCTCTGTCTTGAGTAAAGTGTTACTTCTTCACTTCGACCACGAATCTTTTGGGGGCCGTTCACTTATGACTGTCCGGGGGGGGGGGGGGGGGTGTCAGCAAGAAAAGAACAAAAGAAATTCCTGGAAATCCATTGTTCTTTTTTGAAAAATGACCGTTAATTTCGGACGTCATAAGTGAATGACCCTTTGGGACAATTATCACTCTTACGACTCGAAATTTGATTCAAAAAATGGTGATCATGCTAGCAACTTCTTCACAAAATTCACAAATAAAACCGCACGCTCCATGCGACTTTTCACTATCAGACAACAACACTGCAATTAAGTTATAAAATATGCCCGCACTCATCATACTTATTGACGGTATTAGTATCGAATAATGTTAAACACAAAAATTTTATTTATTGAATATGCAATCATTCGATCAGTATTGAAAGAGTCATAGACGACAAAATATCTTTTGTGCACCTGATTGTTGTCAATTATTATTGTCGCTGATCAATTATGCAAATCACGTTCATTCCATCCAAATGATTAAGTTAATTGCTTTTTTCATACTTTAAAAGTACAATTTGTATTATTATTTTTGTTGATAATTGATAAAAAAAAGGTTTTAGTAAGTAAGTGAGAGAGCTAGAGCCAAAAATTTAATTAAGTAAATCAAATAATGCTCTCAAGAAAGTCATCAAACACCAAATCCAGTACAGAATTAAGACAGAAAGTAAAAGTTAAGCAGTCGAATAGTCATAGAATTAAGAATGAGACTCCACGACCAAGTTTGCATTGGAGAGATGTGAAGACGGGCTTTAGGAATTTCAAAATAAAACGTTGGAATTCGATTGGCTCATGGGTATAGCACTCGCGTATAAATACATTGTTTATTCAAGCTTATACAAATCTTTATTGAATGCCTATTGTATTATAATTTACTTAATAGAGTCCTGACTCAAGTGGCGGAACAATTGACTTAACAAACTTTGATGTAACTGATGGGAACTATACGAAGCGCAAAAATGTTTTTCGTCTTTCATCATCACATTATCCTGCAGCATGTGATAGTGAATGTGAATTACTGTTACAGACTCAAAGTTCACAGGAAATGTCCGAATGGATGAGCTGCTTGAAAAGTGTGACGAAGAATGATGTGAAAACCGACACAGTAAGTTTTAACTCAATTGGCTCTCAAAACTGAGTAAAAATGATTTCCCGCCAAATTTATGTTAATTATAAATCTAATCATAATCAACTAGGATTGTTCAGCAGATGTTGGAATTCAAAAGGCTGAACCACAACGAATAGCTGCAATAGAAACGATGCAAGCATCAACACTGAGCAGTGATGACAATCCATCTCCTTTAGCTAAGACGCAACAACGAAAATATCATTTTGGATCTCGATCACCTTCCGGACAATCACCGGTTACTAAAAGTAGAAAGGCACCACAGAATCTATTAGTAACATCATCTCCACTATTAAATCCGTCATGTTCGGATAAAGAGACTAATTCCCCTAAACAGAAATCAACGTGGAAACATTTTGTGACAAATCAGTTTAAAAAAATGCAACCGCAAAATGATTCGCCAACGTCAAATGTCAATGAAGGTTGCAATTTATCTCAATGTACACCGGTAAGTCTCCCTTTAGTTATGACTTATGATTGATTGTTTTACAACGATTTTATTTACTCACAATTTGCATTCATTTCATGTTTGATTCTCATTTTTATTAGTCGGAAGAGAACTTCTACGTGCCACTAATAATATCAAAATGCACAAAAATAGTCGAGACGAGAGGCATGTGTATCGTAGGAATTTATCGTATACCCGGTAATACGGCAGCTATTTCGAACCTAAACGAGTTAATAAACCGCAATGGAATGGATGAGCAAACCTTGAACGATCCAAAATGGGAGGATGTAAATGTAGTGTCTAGTTTGCTGAAATTATTCATTCGAAGCCTTTCCGAGCCGATTGTATCGAACGAATTGTATGGAAATTTCATCGAAGCTGATAAGAAACCTGAACATAGTCAGCGATTTCAAGAGCTTAAGAGTCTATTAGGAAGACTCCCACGACATAATTATGAAACATTAAAGCATCTCATAGCGCATTTGTATAAAGTTAGTGATAATGCATCGACCAATTTAATGGAACCGAGAAATTTAGGTGAGTTGCCGCAATTATTCCCTAATCAATATCCTGAAACTTTTGATTGATTTTAGCAATTGTGTTTGGGCCGTCGATAGTTCGAAAATCAAACGATTCTTTAGAAATGGTAGTTAAAGATATGCGGCATCAATGTCAAATAGTAGAATCTCTTATCAGTCATGTGAGTTAATGAATGCGGCATCATTTAATGTTCCTTTTGAAGATTAATGAGTATATTTATTTTTATAGTATGGATATTTCTTTGAAAATGAACCAATGCCGAGTGCAAAGAATAAAATATATCAAGCTTCCACGGATTCGGGATCTGAGCTTCCATCAGCAGATTTTCTTTTAGAGAATGTTGCCAAAATAGAGCGTAAGATGATGAAAAATATTTTTATTAATAGTACCGACAAATTAATGTCATTTCATTAATAGCACTTACTAAAGATGTACAGAAAGATACATCGTCGAGATTTGTAGCAAATATTGTCCAAGCAGCCAATCGAAAAATACGAAAAACGGCGCAAAGAAGAAGTACATCATCATCAATGACACCAGATTCATTATCGCTCGAGAGCATGACCACGGTAAGTCATAAAACGATCTCTATCTTTAAACGATAATTGTTATTGAGTAGTTACTAAAGATTTGAGGTGTGAAAAAAATCTCATTTGATGTTGAACAGCTTCTTTCGCATATTTTATGAACTTAGATCAAAACATTAATATTGCTTACCAGAATTGATAACTGCGATGTACCCGTGATCAGATAGAGTCAGGTCTTTCAAAAGACTAGATTTTAGTCTGACCACAAGTATAAAGCAGGGACCAACTCTGTTGCTTACAAACTGATTTTTTTTAACGCTAAACAAACCAAAACTATTTTCATGTTTAATCACAACGTAGTCGGCAGAATCAAAAGATTTACAAAAGGCACATCCGAAAATGTCAAAACTGAAAAGCAATGAATCGTTGGCGGAAACTCCTCGTTCATCGGAAGACGACTTTGATAGTGCATTTACCGAGAATTGTGAAAACGGTAAGAACCTACTACCACAACTATTTCTTTTCTTTTTCGCTTGCCATTTACCTACCTTTTTTATACTAATTTTGCCATTACTTTGATATTTTTTAATATAATAAGCTATATCTATTATACTTAATCTGTTGGACATTTCAGGATCAACATCTTTAACTGCCACCGTAACAGCATTACTGGATAATAAATTACGATCACTGCGAAACTCATCTGTTGAGTCGGATAAGGAGGATAATAATAATGTGGCACAAAGTGAGACGCTATCAATAGCGACAACAGTATCATCGTCATCGATATCAAATTCCAATCCACGTTATTCCGTAATAAGTAAAATGACGCATTTACAGCATCCACGACCATTAACATTAGGTGAAAACATTCCATTTGCCGATGAGAGTCCAGAGAGGCCGTTAATTCAAGCGCGTGTCAAGCCAATAAGACAATCATTAAGTAATAATAATAATAATTCTAGTAGTAATAATAGTGAGAAGCAAAAAGGTTCTGAGCTACAAATGGATCAATCGAAGAATGATAAGAGTAGCTCAAAACTGTCATTGGAATCATCATCAGATACAGATTCGTCAACAACAAGCAATTATCGGGAGCATATGAGGTCTGTAATTCGTTTGGAAGATTCGGTGCTAAGAAAAGTTAACAGAATTTTAACAAATTTGGAGCATCTCGAGAGGAAATATAGTTTAAATCGATCTCTATCATTGAATTATAAGAGTCATAGGAGTAGTAGTAATAATAATAATGAATGTTGCTGTGCTAATAAAAGTGATAAAGTACGTTTATCATTGACAAAAGATGAGAAAACTGATAAGAATATAAATAAGCGACGGCAACTGCACGACACGACCAATACAACAAATAATTCTCAATCAACTGGTGGAAATTCTAAATATCGTAGACACAATGGCAGTCGATCTATTCGAAGACGTCATACGATAGGAATTGGTGCACACGATTATGATTACAATAATCCTACAATAATCAAAACAAGTGATCGAACAAGTTTTATGACACCCATCACAAACTAATACCCATTGAGCATGAAAGCATGGGTACACACAAATTCATGAATTAAATACAATATATTCAAGATGAATAATTTTATTGCTAATTTTAAGGCATTCGCATCAAGTATTTAGTTGTTTCATCGTCATTTTATCTACAATTTTATTTTATTTTGCTTGATTCTTATTTTTTTTCTTAAAAATCAAATGCTTCACAGACGAGAGAAAGCGAGAATTTTGTGTATGTATATTTTATTGCATTAATCACATCGATTCATTCATTGAAAAGAAAATTCACATTTCATAGAAATAAAGAATTAAATTATGAAAAATTTAACGTTTTTTTTTGGTTATTTTTTTGAATTTTCCAGCGATTATAGATTTTTATATTCACACCGTTTTCACGCGTGAATCTATTGGTTTTGTTCAGATTTAAAAATCAGTTTTTCGCATTTTGTGAGAAAACGAAGCAACATTGGTCATAAAAGGTCACAGAAGAAAAGTTTGTGCCTGAAATTTTACATCATTTTCAAAAAACAGTTTCAAATTGGCATTGCTGAGAAAATCGCAAAATACGCTTTGGGGCCATTCACTTATTACGTTCGCATTTTAGGGGGGAGGGGGGTTTGAAAAATTGTAACCAAATGTAACATAGGGGGGGGGGGGGTGTCAAGAAGTATGTAACGTTCAAACTGTCGACACCAAAAACATTATTTTAAATTTTCCACCTTTTTAATGATTTATAAATGTCCAGATCTCTTTTGATAGTTAAGCAATACATAGTTTTTGTTATATAAAGTAACACATCAATAGAAAACTGGTTTACAAGACTTTAAAATACAATCATAATTTGTGGAAATTTTCAAAATTAAATCAATCATAAGTTTAAAAATAAATCTCTCTAAATCTGTCATTCATTTGATGATTAATATGATCCCATCATTGTGATATTTACATTCAAAGTTGATTGAATTTTCCAAAAATCGATCGGGCATAATATTTTTGAATTTTCTTCAAAAAACAAAACATTGTGAGTTGTAACATATGTAACAAGGGGGGGGGGGGGGTGAAAAAAGTCGTTTTCTTGAAGCAAACAAGCATACAAGTTAATCAGCAAGAAATCTCAATAACGAGACATCGTAGAGACTTCTAGTTTTTTAAATTTGATCTGTGCTGCTCTATAGATGAGCTGTATTGTTTTTGGGCAAGGTACGAACAGCCGTTGCTTCAGAAAAAGCAAAAAACTTTTCTTTCTTACGAATTTTTCAAAACGAAAGTTAACTGTGATTTTTATAAAATTAAACTTTGGATGAAAAAAAATTTAAAAAAAAATTTTCTAGCTTTATACTTTCAAACTTATGCTGAGCCAAGTTCAGCTGATTCGCTAGCTTTATATCTTCAAGCTTATGCTGAGCCAAGCTAAGCTGACTTCCTAGCTTTATATCTTCAAACATACAGTAGCGTGCAAAAGTGAGTGGACAGAACAAATTTTTTAATAATTTCGTTCAAAAAGTATCTTCAACTAAACGAAATCACTTCAAATTTTCACAGCATATCTAATTTTTGATGAGATTTCATATGCAAAACAAATTTTATACTATAATTAAGTAATTTGAAAAAAAAACGTTAAATATTCAAAATCGATAACGTGCAAAAGTGTGTGGACAATTTTCAATGACAAAAAAATGTGTTAATAAGTATGATATGGTAACTTTTTAAGATGGAAATCTAAAGTTTTGACGATTTTCTTAATTTACGTTCAAAAATTTTCCACCAAAACCACGTGTTTTCTCGATTTTTCTAAAATTCAAAATAGCTACTATTTTTAATGACTTTTAAGCAAATATGTCATTTAATTCAATCTTAATTAACTTAGACTTAACTGATTTATATAGTATTTTTAATAAGATTTCAGAATATACATAGTTTATTACAGTAAAAGTTGATATTATGCAAAAAAATTATAGATAATTATTTTCATTGACGATTTTCTCACAGTCCAGAACATTAAATTGAGGATATCTTGATAAATACTTTGCATATATAAGACTTTTTGGTATCAATTTATTGCATTTTATTTGGACAACATTATATCAGTAATTTCAGTTTGTTAAAAAAATTATCCATCAAGTAACAAGCTGTCAAATAGTATGTCAATTGAGCGTCTCAAATAATGAACTAGTGTATCGGGTAGAAACTCAATGCGAATATATTCACACCGTACCATCAAAAGTCTTGTGGATAGACCAAAATTTGCGACACAGTTCAAAACATATCGACACAGTTCAAAAGTCATACCTAATTTATGTTATAATTATGTCAGCTACAAAAGCACTTAGTTTGAATTTTGTCACCCTCGGGAACACTATGAACCAGTATAGCTGATTTTGGTCCAAATCTCGGCCATACTTCACACTTATTTGAACCACATTTTCTCGTAAATGTTAAAATATAATTAAAAAGTAATTAATCCTCAATTATGTCGCTATTTTGTCAAGTGTTTTAAGATAAAGAATTTGTTTTTTGGTTTCCACAGTGAAGAGTATGAACAAAATTCAGATGGGGTAGTCGAAATTTTAGATTTTGTTTTTTTTTTAAAGCTATGCATTACAAAAAGGAATATTAATATGTGATTTATGTCAGAATTATTTCAATTCAAATAAAAGGGTGTGTTGCATAGGATAGACAGAATAATTCTGCAGAATTCTGCTCAACAGTTGCGCAACAATTCTGCAGAATTATTCTGATAAATTCTGCAGAATAATTCTGATGACAACATAATAATTCTGAAGATTAATTCTGATGAATGTTGCGTGACATGGATGTAACAAAACCAGAATAATTCTGAAGAACTTATTTTTATTCTGCAGAATTTTTCTGCTGAATTTTTTTTTCAGAATTTCACAAAACAAACAGAAACATTTTTTTCCAAATTCTCCATAATTAAAAGTTCTGATGAACAAGTTTATGAGAATGTGATTAAAGACACAATTACAAATTAATATGGAAATTAAAATAGGAGTACAACATTTTTCAGTGTTTCACTAGGTTTGAAACAGAATTGATAAGGAATTGATAAGGAATTGCTTTTGACTTTGCCAATATTTTCCTTTTGCTCCTCTGGTTTAAAGCCTTGAATAGTTCGAAAAAATTATTCATTATTAAAACTTCAATTGAAGATTATATACAAAAGCGTATAAAATTTGATGAAATATTGAATATTCAATTTTCGAGATCGAATTCGGCTCGATTATTTTTAAAAGTAAATAATTAAAAGACGCAAAATATTAGCTTTTGTTATCCATTTTCTTCAACGTGTAAATTTAACTGTAAAAGCAACATATGGATTAAAAACTGAGTAATTATTGCTAGGTATCGTGGTTGAACAGCCACAAATTTAAAAATTCGAGGAACAAGTTAAGAATTATTTTTTTGGCTCCGTTATTCAGTATTAATGACAATTCGACAATTGTTTATCTACTAGATTTTTATTGGTCATTAAATTTTTTAGCTTTATTTGGAACTTATTATATCTCTGTTATTATATAGTGATGATCCGTTTATCAAAATATGACGCTGCAAACTGATACTACAAAAATCCGTTACAAAAACTGATGCAAAAGTGCCTTGATAGCTCAGTTGGCAAGGTACAGGTCACAAAATTTCGAGTAGAATTTGCACTCTCGCGTTCAAATCCCATCACCAGCCTAGTGATTTTCAGGAGTTTAGATACTTCGGCTTCTTAGGTGCAGCAGTTCAAGACGTTAAACTAAGAATTAGGCAATGTGAGATGTGGGAATGAGTCAATAATTATGAAGATAGAATGAGAAAGATAAGAGAGTTGTAAATTCACCATGAAGGGCTTGTACTGGAACGGATCTCGAGACATTGTGACCTACTAAAAATTGAAACGAGAGCCGATATGAACACTAGTTCTAAAGATCTATAACAGTTTTTAATTGGGTACTAGACACACAACTGCTTAGTGAAGATGATTCGCTAAACACTGAGCTAGCGTACATAATATAGATTTATGAATTATTAATGTTAAAAATAAAAGTGTAGCGCTTAAAGGTTGCACACTGTTGCACAATTTAAGATGAATAAATTGAAATTGAATTGAATTGTGTTCAGAACTGAAAAATGTTGTACTCCTATTTTAATTTCCATATTAATTTGTAATTGTGTCTTTAATCACATTCTCATAAACTTGTTCATCAGAACTTTTAATTATGGAGAATTTGGAAAAAAATGTTTCTGTTTGTTTTGTGAAATTCTGAAAAAAAAATTCAGCAGAAAAATTCTGCAGAATAAAAATAAGTTCTTCAGAATTATTCTGGTTTTGTTACATCCATGTCACGCAACATTCATCAGAATTAATCTTCAGAATTATTATGTTGTCATCAGAATTATTCTGCAGAATTTATCAGAATAATTCTGCAGAATTGTTGCGCAACTGTTGAGCAGAATTCTGCAGAATTATTCTGTCTATCCTATGCAACAGATTCAAATAAAACATTCAAAAAATTTTTTTGACCAAAGAACCAAGTAGGAAATACATTTTCAATTTTAGACTAGGGGCGTTTGTATATTTAAACTATACAAAGTTTAAATGTATTTGGATTTATCCTCGAAGAAAAAAAGTGAAAAACTAGATTTTGACCAGACCTGTCCCAAGTTCATAATTGAAAATGTATTTCCTACTTGGTTCTTTGCTCAAAAAAATTTTAGGATGTTTTATTCTTAATTGTATTAAGCACTAGCATATTTATGCAGAGTTTCAATCCATTTAAATAAACCCTCGAAGAAAAAAGTGAGAAAATTGATTTTGACTAGGGTCGCCCCTAGTCCAAAATTGAAAATGTATTTCCTACTTGCATATTTAAGCAAAGTTTCAATCCATTTATATAAACCCTCGAAGAAAAAAGTGAGAGAATTGATTTTGACTAGGGTCGCCCCTAGTCCAAAATTGAAAATGTATTTCCTACTTGGTTCTTTGCTCAAAAAATTTTTAGGATGTTTATTTTGTATTTGTTTTAAACACTAGAATATTTATGCAAAGTTTCAATCCATTTGGATAAATTCTCGAAGAAAAAAGTGACAAAATTGATTTTGACTAGAGTCGCCTCTAGTACAAAATTGAAAATGTATTTCCTTCTTGGTTCTTTGCTCAAAAAAAATTTATGATGTTTTATTTGTTTTTGTTTTAAGCACTAGCATATTTATGCAAAGTTTCAATCCATTTGGATAAACCCTCGAAGAAAAAAGTGAGAAAATTGATGTTGACTAGGGTCGCCTCTAGTACAAAATTGAAAATGTATTTCCTTCT